TCATGTAAATAGAGTTAAAGACGAACCAATTGCCCCCCTCCCCTCCTCCCATATCAGGCAACTGTTTTAAACAAGGAATTCCCAAAGGAAGATACAATGCATGAGCTTCTAGGAAGGACAATCTAAATTTGGTTTCCGCGACTAATCTTAGCCCTGATTTAAAGGAAACTTTCACAGGTACACATACAGAATTCAATGAAAGAGTTTTTGAAGCGAATGCGTGCTTTCAAAAAGACAAGCTTCCTATAGTTCTGAAGGGTGCTACCTTCTCCCCTCCTTCCAACCATCTTTGCTGCATACACCTGGCATTACTTTTTACCGTTCACTGTCCTTACTGCATCCACGATGACAACCTTTTCTACAAGCTAGCTAGAGAGAGAGAGTGTGTGTGTGTGTGCATTATGGGAAATTCTTAGCATGTATTTGTTATTTTTTATATATTTTCGACATTGCAAACAGAGGCTGTAGATATTGAACAAGAGAATGAACTGGTCGATCACATTGTACAACTGGTTAGAATTGAAAGAGATTATTACCCATTTTGTTTAAATAGGGGTCTCGGACTGTTTAGGCTCAGAGTTTGGTACAGTACAAATAGGTCTTTTGGAAATGGGCATTTGACTTGCAAACATTGAATTTATAAATTGATCGGACTCCAGAATGATCTGAGCTTCGGAATAATCACAATAAAACCAATATCAATTTAACTGATTTAAAGATGGTAAAAGAGGAAAACCATTTATGTATAGATATCAATTCGAATTTGTTAAGGGAAAGGTTTCCATGGCTTTACGAATACTTTTTGCATTTCCGATTCTTCTATAGCTTTTATGCTTAACTTTTCATTCTGAAGGTCAGATTCATGTAAGCGTCTTCTTTTGTATTTGAACAGTAGTCTTGAATTTGGAATTACTGCCCGAAAGCATACATCAGGCGGCGTAAGATATGCCAGAACGGTTTAAGGGATTTTTTTCTCCTTTGCAGGCTTCTATGCCGTGAGAATAATTTTAAGCCAACATCATTCGAGACGCACTGTACGGGATGAAATTGAAAGAAGAGTTTTTGTATGGCAAGAGTTTTGGTTGGCATTTTATCTAAAAGTATCTTGAAATGCGGATGAATGCAAGTGTGCAATGTACAAATATTGCAACAAGACCACATCAAGCGACCATACCTCATAGAAAGCGTCGGGCCGAGTTAGTACTTGCATGGGTGACCGGCTGGGAATACCCGGTGTTGCTGACTTTTTGAGGTGCGCGATAGACAAGGCAATGAGCTTGCTGACACACTTGCTAAGAAGGGGACAACGATTTTGCAATGCATGGACTGCCCGATGTCTTTCCACACAATGAAGGCCTTAATCAGAAGAGAATTCAAGACCTCAAGGTGCAACGAACTTAAAGCTCGAACAAAGGAGAAACAGTGGACGGTGGCACTCTCCGACATAGCCGACTGGCCAAGAATCGAAGCCGTTGCTGAGTTTAAACTACGTACCGGACACGATTGTTTGGCAAAACATCTTCACAGATTGGGAGTATACACTCAACCCACATGCCCCCTATGTAAACTACAGGAGGAAATGGAGAAGACCCACCTGATTCGATGTCCAGCTCTACAGACAACGACGGAAAGCCAAAGATACTGGGAAGCAAGAAGACAGCTAATGAATTGCGATTAGTTAACTGCTAAATATGTACCCCCCCCACCCTTGAGGGAAGCTGAAGTCAAAGTTTAAGGGCTAATGATAAATATTACAAAGCCTGCCATTTGAAATAAATCTTGAAATGAGGATGAATGGAAGTGTGCAATTGGCAAATATTGCAACGAGACCACATCACGCTTTCGTTTGATTATAGGAAATCGATCAAGAAAATAAAAGTAATTTTTGACCTGATCATACCTATCTGCCCTTTAAATAATGCCAAAAGCCACTAGTCAGTGGACAGTGAAAATTTTTTGTTGATTAAGAAGTTAAAAAATATTTTAATAGATGAAATTGTGGAAACAAGAACTTTTGATAAATTCTTAAAAACAACTTTTAAGCTACCCAGGCATGGACTTGATAATAAAAGAATGATGAAAAGTAAATTTATATTATCTCGACCTCTAGGCTTATAGTTTAAATAAATAAATAAATATTTCACTTGCCGATTACTATCAATATTTACTTTAATGCTTGGGGTGTGCGATAGACTTACCTCCACGTGGTGCACCCTGAGAAACGTATATTTCTACGGCAAAAAAATCTATTAACTGGCAGTTGATTTCTCATTTCAAACTGCCATCACCTCACTCAATGCCATATTCGAATATTTCCACAGTNTGATAGTTATCATTAGCTCTTTAGCTGACTACAGACTTCACAGAGGGGAGGAACACCATAGTGAGAAAAATTCGAGAGGGAGGAAAGAAGAGTGATCCACTGATGTAAAGAGACAGATGGCCACAAATGCGGAGTAAAGTTAAGGTGAGTACTGTTGAATTGGTTGAAAATGACATGAAGTCAGGTCATGGTAGCTTGAAGTCAGAAGTCAACTGCCGGTTAATAGACTTTTTGCTGCATGAGTATACGTTGCCCAGGGTGCACTCCGTGGTGGTATATGAGTATACGTTGCCCAGGGTGTACCACGTGGAGGTAGGAGTCACGTTTCCAAGTGCACCACGGACTCTTTTGCCGTGTATACGTTGCCCAGGGTGCACCAGTTTGTTTGCCGTATGAGTATACGTTGCCCAGGGTGCACCACGTGATAGACTTACTTGCCGTATGAGTACACGTTGCCCAGGGTGCACCACGTGGTGCCTTATGAGTATACGTTGCCCAGGGTGCACCACGTGGAGCCGTATGAGTAAACGTTGCCCAGGGTGCACCACGTGGAGCCGTATGAGTATACGTTGCCCAGGGTGCACCACGTGCCGTTTGAGTATACGTTGTCCAGGGTGCACCACCTGGAGGTAAGTCTATCGTGAGTATACGTTGCCCAGGGTGCACCACGTGGAGGTGTATGAGTATACATTGCCCAGGGTGCACCACGTGGAGGTAGCCGAATGAGAATACGTTGCCCAGGGTGCACCACGTGGAGGTAAGGTGTGAGTATACGTTGCCCAGAGTGCACCACGTGGAGGTAAGTCAATCGCATACCCCTCTCTCAAATATATAACTTTTATTAGTTCTTCATGGGCAATTGCTCTAAGTTTTTATAAGAGTACGTGGTTTAACAAAATTTTAAGAAGCACAATATTAAAACATGATTTATTTGTGATACTTCTTTATAAAAAATTTCCAGTAATTTCCAAAAATGTATCTAAATCATACAATAGAATTGCTATTTTTTTAATATTTGATAAAAACGTTCGTTTTATTTGCAAAAGGAAACAAATAATCGAAATATTAACAAACTTGATGAAATATTGAGGAAATTGCAATTGATGTCACTCCCACATCTTAATTTTCTGTTAAAATTAAACGAAATTACACAAAATAACATATTGTGTCGGTACTTTTCAGATTATCTTAACTGATTTTTATGTTTTTTCCTTAAAAACCGTTAAAGAAAACGGTGGAAACTTTCCACAGTCCTCTAATTAAAAATTCATAGGGCAGTTTACAAGCATTGTATTTATGGTGACAAATAAGGTAACATCAGTACCTAGTGGATGAGTAACCTCTGCCATTACACAAACCAGTTATGAATTCAACTATTTGGAGAGACAAAACTGACAGAATTATATACGGAAGCTCTGTGAGATTCCTTTTAAGCTCGAATTTAAGCGTTTCTCTCTCAGATACCGTCTAACTTTATCTCTTTCAGTCTGTATCACAGATGGTGATCGACGACTTTATTGCGATACCACCAAAGTTGAACTGGCTTCAATTCTCCTTTTCCAGCTTCCACTTTGCTCCTCCTCCCACCCACCTGTTTCAGCTCTAATGCTCTCTCCCTCTCTCTCCCTCTCCATCGTACTTCCTCTTCTCCCTTCTTACAGAAACAAACAAACTGAAATCGCCAACCTCATATGGAGCATGTGAGTTGGAGCAGAGAGGGAGGGAGGGAGATTTGTCCCCATGGAGGAGGGGGGGGGGGTTGGATTAAGTCTCCCTCTACGCATACGCTCTTATGCGCTACATACGCGGTAACATCAAAAGGTGCTGGCCTTGCCTAGCTAGCTGGGTGGTGTCTAACTCTGTTGTTAATAGTTACTCGTCTGGCAATTATCTGTCAGGGTACCGCATTCTTGAATAAGTCAAATCACCTACACTATAGGCCACATCCTTCGCATTTGCATTAAAGCAAAGTTGACCACGCTACAACGGCATAACTAGCATTATCCCCCTGCTAGACTTTCCTGATAGCAAAAATAACTAGTCTCAGTCTTATTTCAAAGGCATTTATGGATTACATTTGGGAGTTCAAACTAACCTCTCTCTTTGAGATCAACGTTTCAAACGCGCATGATAAGTTGAATGTCAGCTTCATGGTGCCACCCCCCCCTAGGGAGAACTCCGAATTCCTAGATGACCTTTAATAGTCAAAAGTAATCAAGACCTTTGAATATTGCGCTAATTAGTTGTGGAACAGTGGACGGTGGCTGATGACCTTTGACATCACAGCTATGCTGAAGATGTCATGGCCAGAAAAAGAGATGAATTTGTCGAGATTGATTAACCATCTCCTCAAGTCAGTCAACTTTGCGAATTTGACAACCAAATCTTTTTATTAAGATGCAAGTAAATGAAGCTATTAAAATTTAATGATAAATCGGGTTTAATGGCAATACATTGCTTCATTTTTTTAATTAATTTTCCGACTTGAATAAAACACCTTCAAGTTTCGAATCAATTTGTATGCCTGACTGAATGCTCAAAAGTTAAAATTTGACAAAAAAGATTTGACTTAACTTGACATATCTAAATGAAAGAAACAAAAAACCTTGCTAAGGTAAGCTTAAGAATGACACTAAATTTTGTACAAAATATAAACCTGCTAGCGACATTTCAGCTTTTAAACATCCAATTTGACAGGTATTTGACGGGGAAGATTTGAATCTTTAACTCGGGGAGGTGGAGTAATGGATGTAGAAGAAGAAGATGAAGATTTGGAATGCGTGGGAGATTCAAAGGCAGGTAGATTGACAAGTGATTGACCACTGGAGACAATAATTTGCTCTGTGGAGTGCTAGCAGGATTGAGATTTATTTTAAAGTACATTTTAAATGCTTTAAAGCATTATTTCTCAATTTGCATAATGCCTTTTTTAATCCCCTAAAAGTAATTTCATTAAATTTTTACTTCAAAGATAAGCAGTTGTCTGCTTTTGATCAGTCAATGCTAATCAATATCAAAATGAAGAGAACATAAAATGACCAGGTTAACAATATTATCCTTTTCCAAAAATAGTTATTTTAACACGGATTTCTATGTGCTTAAATCGAGGGGAATGAATGCATAATTCTGAGTTCTCCTCTTTGAGACCTGGATGTCCGTTCGGCCCCTTTTGTGAATGCAGTCTCTTTACTATTGTCAAAATTTTTGAAATGGGTGTGCGATAGACTTACCTCCACGTGGTGCACAGTGGGCAACGTATATTCATACAGCAAAAAGTCTATTAACTGGCAGTTGGCTTCTCACTTCAGACTGCCATCACCTCACTCTATGCCATATTCGAATATTTCCACAGTATTCACCTCACCTTTGTTCTACCTTTGAGTCTGTCTCTTTTACATCTTTGAAACACTCTCCTCTTCCCTCCCCCCTCTCGACTTTTTTACACTTTGATGTTCCTTCCCCTCTGTGAAGTCTGAAGTCAACTAAAGGGCTAATGATAATCATCAAGACGCCTGCCATTTTATATAAATAAATAAATATTATTGAAATCCGCACGACTTAACAATTTTACGAAAATCCACTTTACCTGGAGCTAAATTTTGCGGTGATCAGACCAAATTTGTACAGGCTGTGCTTGTTCAAGATTGTGGTTTGCATTCATCCAAAAACAAATTGTCACAAATTTCGCATGAAATCTTTTTTTTTTTTAAATTTATTTGAAATTAAACGAAAGCGTAGACCATATTCCATCTATCAACTCATGGTGTTATTAGTTAGTACAAGCAAAACTTTGCAATTTGCTAGACAATTAACTTCTATTGGACTAAGTAGCATTATGATGGAACCTAATAACACAATTTTACTAACGGCCCTGTTTTCTCTCCCTACGGTTAATCCACATCTTTAATGGACTGACTAAAACTTATGTACAGTAAGAATAAATCAATGTTGTTGGTAATTCAATTCACCGTTTATGCAACGAGGGATGTGGATTTATTGCTAACTTCATTACAATCGTTTTGTTCCCCCCCCCCCTTTAAACTCAACAGCATTCAAGAGAACAAAATGCAATATTCAATGTATTAGAATATTTCAAAAATAAAGAGCACAAATTGTGAAGGTTTATCGCAATAGTTGTGCGCTTCGTAGCACAAATAAATAAATTGAGAAGGGGGGAGTTGGGGGGTGGGGGAGGGGAGAAGAATGGATCAAGATATATATTCGCTCACTCACAAACAGTTTAGTTTAATCACCTCCATCACCCCCCAACCCCCTCCCTCTACCACTTCACCCGTTCTTCCTGATCGCCGCTATATTTCAAGAAGATTGTGATCATTTCTCGATATATAATACCCTTACTGTCGGTAACTTCGATGATACAATAAAGCTGAGAAGAAGAGCAGGGGTGAGATCAGCTCGCTGAGGGAAAGAAATATTACTCCCATTCTCGCCCTACACGAAGTTTCCCACTTCGAAAGTTACTTTCCCCTCTCGATGCACTGAAATTTTTATTAATTAGTGGAAAAGCACACAATGGATTCAAAGGATAACTCGCCTTCGAAAATTTTACCTCCCCACCAATCAGTTGCTTTATTTCCAAATAATATTCACTTTATTCTTGTCTCCTTCTGAATTTTAATGCATTGATAATTTACCCAATTATTAGCGTCTCAGCATGTTTAAAAATATTTAAAGGTACCACAATATCCTGTAAATTTTCATGACACCTTTTTCAAATAATGCGTATAATGATTGAAAGGTGTACAAATGTTCGAAAATGTTCCAGGTTATAGACATACCTTCAAGTCTGGAAGCCATTCGTTTGATTCAAAAAATGGGGAAGGCTCATCACAGAAGTACTAGTTCAAATTGATATTGACAATCAAGAAGTACTAAGCTACACGCAAAATCACAAGTTCCAAATTGGAATCCTTGGTAGTTTGCCAGATAGCAGGTGAATGCCTACGTAAAATTTAAAGTATTATCTAGTATTAAATGTCTTCTCATGTTCTTTTCATGAAATGAATTAATAAGAGAAGTATACTCTCACAAAATAACCAGTTGCCTCTCTACTCCACCGAGCAAATGAAGACCAATTTCCTTCAACGAAAGTCGACAAAGTACGTAGGTTTGAAGAGCCTAGTAGTCGAAGTTCAGGCACTAGGTAATCTGGTGTCCCACAGACGTGGGACACCAACTAAAAAGTAAACTCTGGAGAATATTTCAACTTTCTGCCCGCATATCCTCTCCAGAAGATGAAATTTTAACGCTTGTGCTTTCGTCTTTGATACAATTTCTAACTGATTAATTTTGATGCAATGAAAAGTGAAATGTGTGTCTTGATTTTTGGGAATCTTCCTAGGTAATACTCCCCTCCACTGAACTCCTCAAATAAGACCCCTGGAATGTCCACCTAGTGGAGTAAGTTCGTACAGTGCGTGTGGGTGTGGAATTAATGTATGCATGAATGAATGTAAAACACCTTCTGAACGGAAGGTGTCTCTAAAATGGGATAAATATTTAAAAGAACGTGTTAATTAATGCAATATCGAAATATAAATGACACCTGGAGGATAAGTTTAAAACTATAAAATCTGAATGGATAAATTATTCGCATTTTAAAGTTGTATTCAGATAGGAATGGCGATACACCTGAGCATTTTAGCCATGAGTACTATAAAAATGCAATTTTGTTCGAATTGAGGAGAAAATGAAGTAGGTTAATGAAATTTTCAAAGAAAAGAAAAAGGCGCAATTTATTGAAAATATCAAGGTCGATGTCAAGGCAACAGGAAGCCTTATTTCGTACTCTTTTATGGTTCGCCAACTGACTAGCTCACGCTTTAAAATGTTAAGGAAAAAGCCAAATTGCTACATTTATTCAATTTTTATTCCACATGTTGATTTTTGGATGAGTTCATATTCACGGGTCTCAGAGCTTCCAAGCCGGTTTATTTAAATGTGAGATTGCCTTGATGAATTCGTATTGAAGTAGGTGACATTGAAACAGAATCAGAGCTTTAACAATCCATGTTCCACTTTTTGGAGGTGGGGGGTGGAGGGTTGGGGGGGGGGGGGAAGAGATATTGAATAGAAGAAGATCAGACAATGATCAAATTAATCAATCAATCGTTTCTATATTCAATAGCTAGACAATCGTCGTTGTAAAAATTTTATTCAATATTAAATGACGTCTTTGTTCTTAAAGATTAATAAATAGAATTTTTGGCAATGATTGATGTAATTTCCTCTTGCGTCAACTTAAGTATACGAAATATCTGACAAATTGGCACTTTTAAAATCTATCATTATTTCAAGTCAAAAACAGAAAAGACACTATTAATACTAATTATTTTAATTCTTCTTATTATTCATAAAAATAAAACAAGAAGACAGAAAAGTTCATTTGCATACAAGCATAAGGGAAAAGGAGAAAAATTTGAAATAAATATTACAAAATAGGCAGTAAATATTTATTTACTTCAAATGGCAGGAGTTTTGATAGATATCATCAGCCATTTAGCTGACTTCGGGCTTCACAGGGGGAAGGTTTATCAAAGTGACAGAAAGTCGAGGGGTGGGGAACAGAAGAGCGATTCACAGATATGAAAGAGGCAGACAGACACACAGGTAGAGAAAAAGGTAAGGTGAGTACTGTGGTAGGGGTCGAATATGACAACCAGGGGGTCGTGGTAGTTTGAAGTCAGAAGTCAAATGCCGGTTAATAGACTTTTTTGCCGTATGAGTATACGTAGCCCAGGGTGCACCACGTGGAGGTAAGTCTATTGCACACCCCAGGCAGTAAATATAAGTACCAGGGATTCACGGTATCCGTATTTCATCAACTCATCAAATTTACAGGAGACTGGTTGTTTCAGTCTCTGAATAAGTGTAAGGCATTGTTCGTTCTCTGGGTCACATCTCAGTTCAGCTTCAACAACGAAGATTTCTACCCCTGAACTGATTTACGGACACGTGTCACTAAGCTTGGTCGTCCGCTTTTAAGTAAGATGCAAGATGAAAATAGGAATCAAGAAAAATGTCATTCTAGACCTTTTAAATTTAAAAGCACTTGTAAAATGTCGTTTGGGCCTTTTCCACATCATTGCATGCAAAATAGCAATTATCGAATGTATCACGTTAGTCACCTGGAATAGATAGGAATTGCAATAGTCCTAATACCTCGTGAAAGATCAAGGAAACAAGCGCTTTCAGAAGTTGAAAATCATGGAATATTAAAATCAATATCTACTTAACTTTGAAAGAATTGAACTGCATGAAAATGTGATCGATTATAATGCTAAGGTACCAACAAATTTGAGAGTAGAATTAATGCGGAGTTAACTGGGGACTCTCTTGACTAATTTTCCCATTTTTTGTAACTCAATTGGGAGTTGGATTTCGTGACATAGTGATGGCGATGACAGGTGGCATATAATATGAGCGATAGAACTTCTCATAAGCAAAACATGCATAAGGTGCCGAAAACTGCGGGACTGCGTATCCCTCCTCCGCCTTCTTACCGGGACGAGCTCGCATCCGATGACTCATAAGCCAGCCTGAATGTATGTGTATGCGCATATGCAAATGTTCGCGCTAGAATTTTATGCAAGACGGCATATGGCTAAAGACAAGGCGCACTACACGAACACTGTGTACAATCCCTTTTGCTTGTTGAGGGGCCATAGTGACCATCTAGTCACCAGAGGGCGAGAGAGAGAGAGAGAGAGAAAGAGAGAGAGAATACATTTCCTCTTCTTTTGCCACGGCTGCTTTATATTATAAGTAGACAGGAATTATTGCCTTGCTACCTAAAGATATTAGACAGACTCCCAAAGCACAGCGATAAACACCTCATACTAGATAAAGAGCCATTGGTGACTTTATTACTAAAGAAACTGCAAAATTATGGGCTTGTTTTATTGCTTTAGGAATAAATTTAATGAGGTGGTTATGAGATTCCCATAAAGAAATCCTGATTGTTTCCGATCCCATTGTTTGCTATCAGGAACTGGGACACTCCGTGGATTTTCAGCGCCTTAATGCATGAGGTAAAGAAAACTTTTTACGAAAATATTAGGCTGTTTTGAATTGGAATAAACCTACATTGAATAAAAAAATGTTTCCTAAGAAAGGAGTTTATTTAAATTTTGAAAGAAAAAAGAAATGTCATGGGGACAGACAATTCAGAAGAAGTATCGATGTATTTAAAACATTTTTAGAGTCTGAAACAGGAATTTCCTTTTATAAATCTTGTTGAATTCCCCTATCAAAATTATAATGAATTAATCATACTACTTATAAATACGAGTAGAGCAAATTTTAAACAGAATCTCACTTAAATGGTAATTATGAGAGGTAACCATGAAAATTAATAACTTATTTACTTACTCGCAGATCAAAATAGTTTAAGGCTAATTCGTCTATTTTTGAAATCTTAAAGGATATTATTTTCCGAATTTTATCTAAGCCTGGAGGGTAAGTTACCTGTTTTCACTTCGATCGATCTCGTAATTTTAATGACTTATATCGTAGTTGATGAGAATTTAATAAGACTGTAAGAATTGATGTTAGCTAACTAACACCTCTGTAACCATAAAGATGGGATTAACGATAATTTCCAATCCTTTGAATTTGGATAGTTTAGGATGCATGTTATTTGTAGTTCTCAAGGAAGCTTAAAGTGCCTGTAAAACCCCGGACACCAAACAAGCCTGTGATGTGGACGTTTATTTTTGGAAAAGTAACCGACTTCCGTCTCCTTTGGCATAAATCACCACTACAAAGGCACTTGGCAATTGTATAATCGATATTTACTTACTAAATTAATAAAATTTTAAATGTAAAATAATTTATTAAAAACATTTCTTAAAAAATATAAATCTTACATACAATTTAGATATATTCCATTTAATTATTTTGTAATTTCTAAGATACATTAATTTCGACATTACGCAGGATATCCTGACTCGAATTCCGTCACTTGGAATGCAAATATTCCCAGTCCTAGTGGCATACAACTTGCACCATGCATGATGCGGTTATAAAAATAGGCGAGTAGACAATGAGATAGTCCATTCTGAGTAAAATTAAATGGAATAAAAGCCAAGAGATGAATTATTACCCAAAGATAGCATTGTTATTAATAACTCTCGTTGCCTCTGGTTTAACTTTGTATCGAAGATATAACTCGGAGAACATTTTCAAATCTAAATTCAAACGATTCTGTTCAATGGATGAATTGAGTTGAACTGTTATTTTGTTTAGAAATGCAGAAATGGTCATTTATTTGTAAATAGTAAGCTTTAAAATATTTGAAAACAGAGTTGAAGTTGTGTGACTATTACTTTGAGAAAGAGGAAGGAAGATTTGTTTCATGCATTTCACGATTTTTATGAGTTCACTATCCACTATGTACTGCAGATGTGGGGTGTGCGATAGACTTACCTCCACGTGGTGCACCCTGGG